TTCTCTTATGTGTTTAACTTAAATTTTTCTTGGATTTAAAAACATTTAGGATTTTTAAAAATATCGATTTTAGTTATAAAGGCCTCTATTCCTGGTTGTATGAAGAAAGAAATCTCAGTAAGTTTATATGTGTATATTTAAATAAATGTGTGTATATATTACATATATATTTAAATTAAAAATATATATTTAAACAAAAAATATAAATATATGATTAAATAAAAATATAAATATACATTTAAGTAAAAACCAAATATATATAAATAAAAGTGTAACTATATATTTAAATAAAGTTATAAAGATATATTTAAATAAATATATTGATTATTATATTAATTAAATTAAATTTATTAAATCAAATAATTTAAATTAATAATTTATTAAATTAAGTATATTTTGAATAATATATTTAGGTAAATAGAATCACACAGGCTAAATTATTTACTGAAATATATTTACCTAAATATGTCTATTTATGTAAATATATATAAATGTATGTATTTTTAAGCAATTCAGCTTTTGTTGATTTCAATTTTAGGCGTTATTACCAAGTTGACCTGTTAGATGACGGTGCCTGCTTCCCGGATGCACCCACCTCGAGGACAAGGACAACGGCCCATCTGGGAGGAGGCAAGGAAGTTGGGCCAGGAGGATCAGAGTGAGAAACCCTCACAGAGCTGGGTAGGAACCAACAACTCCATTCTTTTGGGTAGATTCTGACAAGCCTTTTCTTCTTTTACAGGACTTGGAAAATATTTCTGATTACTTAAGAAACATGTTTTTATCCTAAGAAACATTTTAGAGTGAAAACTGGTCTAATATCTCAGCCCATTGCAGGTGCTTTGAGTTGAGTGTAGTGTGGCATGTATGAGGCCACGGGCGTGGGTATAATAACTGCGCTGGGAGAGAGCTGCTGTCCAAATTTAAATCATTCGTTTTCCTTTCTTTTCTCTTTTCTTTTCTTCTTCTTCTTCTTCTTTTTTTTTTTTTTTTTTTGACGAAGTTTCACTCTTGTCACCCAGGCTGGAATGCAAATAGCATAATCTTGGCTCACAGCAACCTCCACATCCTGGGTTCAAGTGATTCTCCTGCCTCAACCTCCTGAGTAGCTGGGATTACAGGTGTGCGTCACCAAGCCCGGCTCATTTTTGTATTTTAAGTAGAGATGGGGTTTCACTCATGTTGGCCAGGCTGGTCTCGAAGTCCTGACCTTAAGTGATCCACCCTCCTCAGCCTCCCAAAGTGCTGGATTACAGGTGTGAACCACCGTGCCCAGCCCATTCATCTTATTTTCTTTCCTCCTCCTCTTCCTCTTCCTTCTTTAGTGAAATCACCTTATATGAAATGAAAATACAAAACTACCAAGCCTGCCTTTTCCCACACAAAACAACAAAATTTGATGATTAAATGAACTCAAGTAGTGAATTACTTCTTGCTCAATTAATTACAAGGCTTTGACTTAAAACACTTTTTAATATTTTCTTAATAAATTCCAGAGGAGAGATTTCTTATGTACTTCTAATGTGATTCTGCACATATATTCAGAAAAACCTCAAGTTGTAATTGCCGTTTTTTTCACTCTCAGTATCTGGCCAGGTTGTGGCCTAAGCCTTAATTAGCCCTGGTTGATATTTAGTCCCAGCCAAATTTGTTTGCTGCTCATCCCTAGGAATGTCACATGGTTGTAGAATGGATATTTCATCTTGTAGGAAATACCTGTGAATACCCCAGTATCCCAGAGTGGGTGAAATGGTCAGTCGGGATCCCTGCTCCACTTTACAAAAAGAAAGGAAAAGAAAAGGTCCCTTCACCAGTGTAAATGGATTTGCTGCAGAAAATGCAATGGGGCACGGGAATAAATAGTCACCCTTTTCCTGTTTCCGCCCCATGCAGGTCTCACCATGTTGAGGTGGGTAGAGATGCTTACACACTCACACACACAGGTCTGGAGCCAAGGTCAGGGCTAGCTTTAGTGAACTGTACACCTGTGCTGTGGGCAGCTGCTGAATTAATATGTACAACCATGGTGTGTACACGCACCTGGAGGGGCACGCTGCTCTGGGAATCATACAGTCTCTCCTGAACAATGACGCTCTTCGAATATTTCTTTTTGTCTTATTTGTCCAAAGTCAAACATCCACTCTGTTAGATCGCCAGTGTCTTATAAGCTGGTGTTGGCCCACACTGCTGCAGGACTGGGACAAAGAGATGATGTTACGGTCTGGTTTCTATGGCAACAGAGGAGGGGTAATGAAAACTGAAATGTTGGAAACACCCATTCTAACCATTGTGACATAATTCAGGTTATTACAAGGACGTAACCACCAAAGAAGCAGACATGTCATTACCTTGCAGCTCATGTCGACAAAAAACTACACAGCACATTTCTCTTACTTGGGCTGCTAAGAGGAAGGAAACATGAAACACACACACACACACACACACACACACATACACAGGCCTCGTTTTCTGCATGTAAAATGTGTGTGTTCTTTAAAAGCCAGTGGTTGGCTGGTTTTCCGGACATGATGTGGTTGAAGCTGTCATCGTAATGGAAATTCATTGCTGTAGCTATGGTAAATCGAGTTTTCTGCCTGTGCTGAATGCATTAGTCTAATGAGATGTTTGCAGCTGGAGCGCAGGGCTGCTGGAGACTAACTGTGAGCTACTAACACGGGTGGAAGATAGCTTTTGCAATACTCGGTTTACATGTGCCGAAAGTCATCTGTCTTCTGAGTCAACACTCCCGACCTGGTAAACAAGCTGCTCAGGGCTCTGGTGAACAAGCTGTAGGTAAGGGAGATGCACAATTGGAGGCGTGCCGTTGACACGGGATCTTTCTCTTGTAACTGTCAGCATGACAAGCTACCTGTTTTAGTTTTTCTGGGTTGCATGCCTGCCTCGAGGGCAATGCACAAGAGTGTCCTGCACTAAAACCACTGAGTCCAGTAGGTAAACTTTAGTTCCTCATATGCAAAGTACAGCATTTGATTTCTTAACCAGATCTCAGAGGGGAAAATGTGACATTGAATTATATAGTTTATAAATCTGGGCTGTATACACGTTCATTACTCTTTAACTCTGCATTTCAATAGCTAGAAAGTGATTTTTTTCCAAATGTGAACTGAAGTAACAGCTTAGTTATTTTTTTCCCCTCCACGATAATTTTGCTTTGTTTTGTTTTTTAATTTAAAGACAATTGTAGTATTTCTTTGGTTAAAAATATTTGCCTAAAATTTGGTTATTAAAATTGGTATGTTACGAACATGCAAAAGTGTTTTCTTTTTTTCAATTTAATTTTATTTCAAATACCTCAGTTAGAATATTTCGCATGTCTTTGTGCTGGATTTTCCTAATTTATGAGGCATAATTAAGAATAATATTTATTGGTAGTTTCTGGTTTTCATTCATTTTGGGGGAAAAAGCTGGTGACTATGGAGTATTAGCAGCAGTTTTCCTAAGCTCAAAATCACCTCCTCCCTAGCTGGAGTGCAGTGACTTGAACCAGCTTCCACGTGCTCCTCCCAAAGCATGAGGGGTCCTCTCCAGGTTGCTTGCTGGCTGGACAGGAGCTGGACAGGTGGGTGAGGCGGGGTGCTGGCTGGACAGGAGCGGTGGGTGAGGCCGGGGTACAGGCTGCTGAGCTGCTTTGCTGAGTTGAGGTGCGTGAGTCAAAGTTCATTGCACTCTCTGTGATCGTGAACAAGAGGCGTCTTCACGTGTTGTCTCTAGATTCCATGACGGTGCTCATGAGGGTTAGACAATCAGTGGCTTTCTGAGAAAGTGGATTTTTTACTGATCTCAGACACTACAGTACTTAGAAAGTCATTCAGGCTCTTCAGAATCGATCTGTTTGTCGTATGCTGTTTTTCTTTCTTTTCAACCAGAGGAACCATTTTTGAAGAGTGAGGGATATAGCTGTTTTTTTCTCCACTTTTTTTTTTTTTAAAGCAAAATAGAATATCTGGAGTGAAAGTATGAAAAAAAGTAAAAATAACTATAAAGGAATTCTTAGCGTGGTAAACTATCTGGGGGGTATAATATTTGCACGGAGCAATTTTTGTGTTACTTGGTAGAACTAGTCTGAAAAAATGAGGGGCTATTCGAGCAACAGCAGCTGGGTGAAGATTACCTAGAAAATCCGTACTGCGTGATCGTGTAAACTCAAATAAAAGGTTAGTGTACAATCTTCACTTTTAGGGAAGTTGGTGGCTTCAAAATCTTTAACTTTAAACGACCTTTTTGGCAGATGTTTTGAAAACTATGAACGTGTTTTCTTTAGCTATTTAAATTGTGTATGCAGATGAGCGCTGTAATCTTTTGGTAAAGTCATCAGTTTAGTTCATTTGTGGAATTAAAACAAAAGTGCAAATCCCACAAAAATCCAGTTCTTTCATGTTTAACATGTTTACATTTCTTCCCTGTGACACTAAAATTACTTTTATTTTGCTGCAAAAAAAGAAAAGTAAATGAACAGTAACAGACAAGGAAGCAATAAGAGAAACAAGAGTAAGTTACTTTTCATCATTTCTTTGCTTTTGGTGGTGTGTTTTCGAGGCGAGGGAAACCAGCGGAAGCAGTTTCACTTTCTGGTTCTTGTCTCCTGGGGGCAAGGGTGAAAGGCTGTCTCCTCTAGCAAGCAGCAGGTAAGCTAAGCAGCTCAGCCCACAGAAAACAAGCCAGACCCACAGACTGTCACTTGCTGCAAGAACTTGTATAATCAGAGTTCAGAACAATATCGACTTTAAAAAATATTCAGTAACATTTTCCTATTAAAAAAATTCAAGCACTACCCCAAAGTACAAAGATAGAATTTTTTAAATTTTCAAAAATTTGAAATGAGAAAAACATCTCTGCTGTTTATGTATTTTTTTTTAGTCTTAATGTTTGATCACAGATACTTTATTTCAATACGTTGAGGGAACGTAATGAACTTTCCTGAAATCGTAACAAGGAATGCTCAGAGAGAAATAACCTTTATGGGAATCTGGCCCTTAAATTTTGTGTGGCCCTAGGACGGACGCATTACGCACTCGTCCACACATCCTTTATGACACGTACCTTAGAGAACTTTTGGTCCAGGCAGAGGTGGTGGCTGGAGCTTGAAAGGCACTCACAGGGGCCCAGGGATCTGCAGGACAATTTTCCTCCCCAAGTCTGTGTCCTTGGAAGCCTCAATATCACATAGGTAGATGGCCGGGAGCCGGGAGGTGTCCATCCCACTCCACGAGTCCTGAAGAAAGTGGCAGGTGACGCTACCCCTCATTGGGCTGGGAGCTTCAGGATGCCAAGCACCTCCCTGGTCATTCTTCCCCTGAGCCCTCAGATTTTATTTGGGGATGGAATGGGAAAGATGGGAAAGGAGATGAGAAAAGACCCTCTTTCAATTGAATTATCATGGAGCATAAAATATTGTCTAACATTTTGGGGATGAAGTTTGTGAAAGCAGTTGCCTTTGGTGTGATCACACAAGCTTCTTTATTTTGGTGGGCAAATTTGACATTTCTAAGAAGGAACTTTTAAAAAAATGCTTCCCTGGACATCTTATTTCTTAATTCTGCGATCTCCCAAAAGGCTAGTCCGAGCTTCACACATTTTTTAATGTTTTCACTGCCTTCAAAAGCAGACAGGTGAGGAGAGATGAGGGGGATTATAAATAGCCCCCGGGAGAGACATTAAATGGCTTGGTACTGATATAATGTAACAGAAGCCACCAGGGTGTCTAGTAAATTACTCTAAATTTTAATTAATGAGTCACAAAAGCCACACCACAAGTTTAAAAAATTACCCTTTTATCAATAAGGTGATAATTAACTTTCTCTGGAATTAGCAGTTCGCTCAGCCCTGGGGCAGTACACAGCCTACTAAGTTATCTGGAATGCTGCCAATTTTTAACAATTGGTCTTTTGGCAAACCTGCTGGATTTAAATTCAAACATCTATTGTGACATTTTCCGACATGATCCACGGACCATTAGGATCACCCAATTCATGGTAAAATTTCTGAGGTCAAAAGAGCAACTTGGAATGTTTGAATTGCATTTGAATGTCACTTTCTCTTTCTTCATTTTTTTTTTCTTTTCTACCTTTCCCCACCCCAAATGTCTGCATTTGCAAAAGCGCAGTACTCCAGTCTCTGCTATAAATCTCTAATGGAGTCTCTGCTGTAAATCGCCGTGGCGAACCCCGTATTTGGTGATATGCCTATGCCGAATTCGAGCGCTTTGGCTGCCAGGCCGTGCGTTCTCAGAGTTTTTCATTGTTGTTGAACTCATCTTGGTTTCAGTTCTGGCAAGGGCTTACTCCTTCACATTTCTGCAAACTCTCACCTGTGGTTTGTCAAATGCTGAGCTTTAGACTGAGACTTGAAGAGATGCTTTGGGCAAGAGGGCATCGTTTTGGATGTGCTTACAAAGGCTTGGAATTAGCTGCTTCTGATCTGCATATATTAAAATGTCTGAAAAGGCACAGGAGCATTCAGCATTGCAGAGCAGCCTGGCCCCCAACAGCCCTTTACACACACACACACACACACACACACACACACACACACGTGCACATATACACACACGCACACCTCCCAGTGCTGCTGCTCATTAGTGAGTGGCATTCAGGGACAGCCTCAGGAGGGACACTTCTATTTGGGCAAAGCAGCTGGAAGGCAAGTGGTGATGGATGTAGATCATCCCTTCAAAAGTCAGCCTTCTCTCTTCCTTCTGAGTCTTTCAAATGTTAGCATTGCTGGGTTCCTGCTTCTCCCAGCCAAGAGACATGGCCAGGGCTGGATACTGGTGACAAGGCTTCCTGCTGGGTTAAGCAGGCAGTTCTGACACAGACAAGAACATCCCTGCCTTCAGGTGGGGTGGAGACCAGCAGCAAGCCACAATTGTGCATTCTGGAATAAATCAGCACTTAGCAATCAGGAGAAGCCCTTTGCTTCCACGAAGAAGATAAAACACCTTACTTCTTGGGATGATGATTTCTTGGGCTACTATTTTAGGACAGAAAGGAATTTATCTCCCAGTGGCAGTTCTCACTTTGTATTAAGCTGAAAAGTCATTCCACTGAGTCCATTTGACACTCTGAAGTAATGGAAATAGATTTTGAGATCCACATTGCATGTTTCCCAGAGATGACTGTTACTATGCCAGTTTTACCAGTTGTGCTTTAGTCCAGTGGTAAGAAACCTTATAAACTCCTCTTTACTCTGCCACCAACTCAGACACATGCTACCTACATTTTCATTTGTGGGGGGAGGCAGGAGGCAGATGTGCTTTTTTTTTTTTTTTTTTTTTTAGCAGTTGCGTTTATTAATCAGATAAATGCAACCCAGCATTGTTGATTTTCAAGAATGATTGCACATTCCTGCAGCCAGGCTGCCTTAGCCTTTTGAGAAATGGGTTTGGCTGAGGAGTGGTCTGACTTTTTCCAGAAGACACACAAGACAGAAGCAGAGCAGTGGAACTGGCTGTTATGAGAAAATTAATATGCCAGGAACAAATAATGTCAACACTGTGCTTTGAAAGGCAGTGACGTCTGCCTAGCCCTGCTGTGGTGGAAAGGTGGTGATGCTGTCTGCTTAGTCCTGCAATAGGGTCTCAACTTTGGGGAGCTGAATATTTGGTAACAAAAGCCCTTGCCCTTTTCCTCTCCCCTTGCTGATCATTACAGAGAAGAACTCATTGTTTCACAACAGAAGCATATGGCCTGAAAGTAATCCTAAGGAAACATGCAGCCTCCCATGAAGATGAGTGCCCAACCTGGGAACAAGTGCTGAGCTGGGCAATGCAAAGAATTGCTTTGGCTGTGTCTAAATCCAGCCGGGGGAAAGTGGTCTGGAGCAAAGAGGCAGTGGGATAAAACAAACAGAAGGGAGCCTGTTCCTTCTCCCTCCCAGCCGAGCACTTGACCTTCACTCTCCCTCTCGTACCCCTGGTGCTGTTCAGAAAGGATTTAATAATTTCAGTAATAGCTATGAGTAGCATACAGCTCTCAGCATGTAGACATTAGGGGCCTTTTCTTTTGAATTGAAGAAAAGATTTTCTCTTCTCCTGCCCTCTTTTGTCCACAGGTCATGCTGGGACATCATCGCTCTGATGAGAAAACCAGGGTTGAACACTAAGGAGTACGTTTTTCCCTGGTGTCTAGAGCCAGGGCCTGCCCCTCTCACCAGGCCCATGAAACACTCGGAGCCGCCATGTCTAAGGCCCTGCCTTGGACACAGCCTTTAAGTCGGCCGGGGGCTGGCCTCAGGATTTTAATCTTGTTTTGACAAGCAGTCTGCCTTGGTGAATGAGGAAAGGAAGTATCGAAGAGAAAAACGTAAGGCAAAAATCTGTTCCAGGGCATTCATGCTTTTGGTTTTGGAGACAGGATTTGGAGGTCATGTAACTTAAAGAACTCCTTTGGGTCTAATCATTTTCTGAGTGATTACATGACTATAAGAATCATTCTAACTCTTTGTGGCCTTCCAAAGAAGAGGCTGGCCTCTTTCCTTCACAGTTCCTTAGGATTTAGTGCCCTCATTATTGGGAAATGTTGGTGGTGTCAAGGCTTTATCAAACCATTAGCTATTAAGACATACTGTTTATTCCAAAAAGAAAAACTGACAGAGGTTGCACAAAGCGTTGGATTCATTGATCAGTAGAGAATTCCACCGTGGGAATAGATTTCTGTCATGTATTCAGTCGTGAGAAATCTGTGGTCATTTGCTGGATTCCATGCTGTTGCCATTGTGGTCTGTGCTGGGGGAGTTTGCCTTAAGACGTAGGAGTCAACCCAGCAGCCATCTGTGCACTGCCCCTTGTCCTGGGAATTCTGCCTTTCAGATGCCAAAGGTGCTCGAACATGTTTGACTGTATCACTTTTAAAACCTCATTTGCAAAAAAGCTTCAAGTGGAGAGCTGTAGATAGCTTTAAATTTTGGTATGCAAATTACAAAGCATAGAAGTGGTGGGGGAAAAAGCTGGTTTTAATGCTGGAAATTGCCACCCACTGTGTGAATATAGAGCTCTTGTTTTGAGTGTCTTCACATAATTAATACTAGAGACTTAACATAAATAAAGAGGGCAAAAAGCATGGTGGGGTTGTGTTGGTGCCTGATGGGGAAATGGTTAATTGGTCCCACAGTGAGAAGCCGTACAACTGTGTGTTGCTTTAATGAGACCAGGTGAATAGAAACTCTCTCCAGGGAGGTGAAGTTAGTACCCGATTTGGGAGGTTATATGTGTGAGAATGTGTGGGGGCCAATGATATGATGATATAGGGGATTGGTTCTTTCTTTCTAGGGCCCTCCCTTTTAGTTAGAAGTCGTTTGGCAAGAACCCAGTAAAGAAGAACAAAGCAACTAAAGTGATCTGATAGTAGAATAAGAAAAAAGTACATTCAGTGAATTTTTTTTTTTTTTGAGATGGAGTCTCCTTCCGTCACCCAGGCTGGAGTGCAGTGGTGCAATCTCAGCTCACTGCAACTTCTGCCTTCCAGGTTCAAGAGATCCTTCTGCCTCAGCCTCCCAAGTAGCTGGGATTACAGGTGTCCGCCACCACACCCAGCTAATTTTTGTATTTTTAGTAGAGACGCTGTTTCACCATGTTGGGCAGGCTGGTCTCAAGCTCTGACGTTAGGTGATCCACCCGCCTCAGCCTCCCGAAATACTGGGATTACAGGTGTGAGCCATTGTGTCTGGCCTAGAAAAAGGTACATTCAGAAAGGTTTGTCTAATATGCATTTACCTGGAAGCAGCCCAAATCTCTGTTCAGGTCAAATGCAGAGAAACTGAGTTCTTATTCAGTGGCTTGGGATCACGGTGGTGTGAGATGAACTGGAAGTACAATCCTTTAGAAAATGTGTTTGTGGGCATAGGTTAGGTCATTGTTTTTATGACTGTATTTGACATTTTCATGCCTGAAGAAAAAAAAATCCACAGGACCAAAGTCCCAGCTGGTTCCTGTAGATTTCTAACAGCAGACAACACAGGTGACAGAACTTCATGGGCAAAGTTAAGCAAACCCAGGCCATGCTTTGGCAAAGAGTTCCTGTATTCTGCCTGTGTACTTTGTGGATGGAATACCAGTTTCAGGGGTTTTCTTTCTCATCCCTGAGAGTGCAGATTTCGGCACCACTGAAGTCCCAGACCGTTTTCCAGCCAGCTAACTCCTCTGTGGAAAAGTTAAAATAACGACTGAAACAATACGTTTGAGGGAAAACATCTAACATTCAAAGAAAGACTTAAAAGCAAAAACCTGTACCCTGAGAAGTGATCGCAAAGTGAATCCTGGATTCTCAGACTGAATGGGTTTCACAGGCCTCTCTCCCAGGTCAAGGCCCAAACTCCCCCCTGTGCGTCTCGGAAGCAGGCAGACAGCACAGAGCTCTATCCTTCCATTGTGAGGAAGCTCCAGTGTTCACAATTTCCTACCTTTCTTCTGCAGTACCTTCTTCCTCCTCTGAGAGCCTACTTGTCTTCAGAGCTGCACAGAATCAATCTAAATGGAGCCACATGGATTCCAATTTGGAAAAGCCAGTTTCATGGCTACCAGTGTGACCTAGGGCAAGGATCATGGCATCCCCGAGCCTCGTCTCCTCCCTGGAGATGTTCTTCCTTGTCAGTCCCCACTGCTGAATGGTTCAAAGGAAACAGTATATGAAAAAGGGCTTTGTAAACCATAAATGCTGTAAGGGTGAAAATACACGTTTGCACCAATTGAGCATTATGTGCTCCGGGATGTTGAGAGAAGCACTAAACATGCTTTATCTTATCTTGTTTGATCCACGCAGGAAGTCAATACAGGAGGGGCTATTTTTACCGCCAACATACAGATGGGAAACTGAGGCTTATATTATACATAACTAACTTACTGAGGGCCACGTGGCCCCAGGAGTCTGTGAGTCTTCCCTCCTCCAGTTTGAGCGTGGCCAGGGCATCCGTGTCCTTCACCTGTGAGAGCTGAAGAGAAAGAGCTCTTTCATGCTGCAGCGCCAGCTGCTGCTGCTCGGCCTGGCAGGGCTGCTCCAGGTCCGGCAGGTTCCAGAAAGGAAATGATTCCCTGGTGTTTCCACTTGGAAAGGCATTTTTGATCCATCGAACATTTCTTTTAAAGCAGTGAGCTCTCAGTCTGGTCAGCCCCAACCCCCAAATTATTGCACATATATTTGTGCACCCAGTTTACAATCCTGAAGTGAAATTCCTGGATAATATAACCCACTCACACCCATAATTTTTAAGAAAAATTAATATAATGTCATAACTGAAATATAAAGAAGAATGAGGCAAAGTATTTGCTAATTACTTCCACGGCAGGCACCCGCCTCTGGGCAACAGAACGAAGTGATCAGGGGCTGTCACCTGCGCCCAGAAGCTCAGGGTGGGCCACCCCTCCAGTGAAGTGTCAGTCAGAGGAGTGGGATTGGTGACTCCGATAACATGAGCTGCTGTGGGTGGTGTGATTTTCCAAAATGACACATGACTTTTGGAATTCTGAAGAAAAGAAACAGTCTTCCTTTGATTTGTGCACTAATGGCATTCCTGGAAAATGATAAAGTGTTTGTTACAGCTGAGCAGAAATACATATTGCTTATTTGTAAAGTAAGTTAGTCCCAGGTTCAGAAAAATGGGGTATTTATATATGGCGAGACAATGCTTTCGCTGTGTGGGACTGCTCCATCCATTGAGGGACACCCAGCATCCCTGGTCTCTGCTCTCCAAGTGCCAGGAATGCCCACTCTGCCCCCAACTTTGTATCAGATACAAACATCACCGACACATTTCCAAAATGCCCCTCTGCAGTGCTACCATCACTGTGGAGCGCCGGGGGATCAGAGCTGCCACTCATTTTCCTTTCTGCTGCCTCCCCAAGCACTCTGATTAATTAAGGCTTAGAAAAAACATGGTTCTCTTTTGCCAGATTCCTACATGATCACTAGGCAGAGCCCTCTCAAAGATCATGGAAGGAACTTTGGGGTGCCCTTGACATTCTAGCAAGATGCTTGCCAGTGAATTTCTTTTGAAAACTGTAGCTTTAAGCTAAATGGGAAGACTCTATCATGTGTCAGTCTTCTTCAGATTATGCAGCAGCTTATCATACATATGGTATTTTAGAAAGCACCTTTAAATGGCCTGGCACAGTGGCTCACACCTGTAATTCCAGCGCTTTTGAAGGCCGAGGCTGGTGGATCACTT